ATTGTGAATAAAGTTTGAAAAAAAATCTTGAATCTCTCCACCAGTAAACCATGGCTAAAATTTGTGATCATCACAAAAAAATTCCATCTAATTTTCCATCCCTGAACATTTCATTGCTTCACCTTTAACATTTTCCTTTCTTCACACAAAGGACTGTCTTTATTTCAAAGGATGAATCATAATGAGTTTGACTTACAGTTTTGTCTGTCCTTATTTTGAGTCTCTGCATTATCTGGAATATTACTACCATCTTAGTCCATAGTGACTTTGCATTTTTTTCAAATGTACGTATGTTCAAATCATTGTATTATTTGGTTGAAAAGCAGTAAAGAATAGTATTGTCAGGTAACAAAAAGTGCTGAAATGTGACTGCACATTTATCCATTTCTCCAGCAGTTCTTAAAAATGAACATCTAAAATTTGTGAATATCATCGAAATGTCACTTCATTCCATCTAATTTTTGAATGCTACAAATTATTGCATTATGCCAAAAAGCAGATTACTCACTGCAACTGGATATGATTTTGGATTCATGTCCAGTTGCTTGAGTAACTGCTTTTTGGCGTATCGTATTACCTGGATGTCTAACCTTCATCGACGTAAATTATTGCATTATTCATCCCTTTAACATTGTTGCTTTAATGATTGTTTTATGAACATGAACAATTTTGATTTCAGAAATGATTTTTGAAAGGGTTGTTGGAAATTGTGGATTATGATGAGATTTTGGATCATGAAGCCACACCAATTTAATTTCTTGGTTAACGCACTGTTCAGGGCAAAATATGAGCATTTTGCAGTTGATTCTGAATTTTTTATTTTTATTTTTTTTTGCAAATCAGAAGAAATGAAGCAGCGAATCCGTTAACCAAGAAATTAAATTGGTGTGGCCTGATGGAGGAAAAACAATTTGAACACACAAAAAATAATGCTTTAAAAGTAACATTATATATTAGCCCTAACAACTTAGGGCTAATGTAAAAGACGGCAAGCAAGAGAAGCCCTGCAACAGTCGCCGCGGCTACGTTATATCCCATTTCTATACAGAATGAGACAATAGACAATACTACAAGTGCTCTCCTCAATAGGAAAATGTACTGTGTTCTGAGTTGTTTTCTACCATATTATACAATTTTTCAGCTAAAACAATGGCTGATTAAGCATTGCGACATACAGACCTCCATATTTTAAAGGATTCCACCGGCAAAAGCACATTCTGTTTTGCCCAATGGAAAAAACGCAGGAAAACGTGGCTATACTCGGGAGGTAAATGTCCTCCTGTCAGTATTCTGCAAAATAACGTCAAATATGCACTAAATCTCGGACCAAATCGGACACAGACATACAAACAACAAAGTAAAATAGGCCTCGCCTCAAGAACTTGGCGTTGCAAGGGTGCAACACGAATTTTCGGGGAGTTATTTCCTTTCTCCAATCGCCCAGCCGCCATTTTCGTCTTCCTCCTCTTCGGAAATGGCGGGTCCGTGGCGCGATGCGCCATGGGTAATTAACACCAGGTGCGCCATCCAGCTGAAGCTGGTCTAATTTGATTTAATTAGTATAGTGTAATTAAAGAAATGGCTAAAACTTTTGGACTTGCCTTTAGAAACGTTGCGATCTGACAATAGTGGCTGTTTGGGGTTCCTTCAACCGATTTCTTGAGCTTTAAAACAAACAAAACAGCTTTGGATATCGAGGAGTAAAAAAGGGTAACAAGTTATTGTGATTTTCAATGAATATATAACTAGACCAAACTGGCTACCGATTTTCTATCGGTTACAGGATTAGGCATCAATTCATCACACCAGGCTAGAACAGATTCTATTCGTGAGAAATATGTTGTGGCAATCCAAAGGATAACACTTTCAGCACCAAGGACAAACACAGTAGTGGCCGCACCAGGTTTCTCTTCTCTTGTCCGTAATACAAGAACTGCTACAGACGTGAAAGTTACTTTATTGAGTGTCGCAATCTTACAAGTGATGGTAGTAAACCTTAAAATGACTTGCTTTCTTTTTAAAACAAACAAAACAGCTTTGGATATCGAGGAGTAACAAAGGGTAAACAAAAAAGTTATTGTGATTCTTAATTAACATACAACCAGACCAAATTTGGCTACCGATTTTCTATTGGTTACAGGGTTGGGCATCATGTTAAGAACAATTCATCCAGTCCACACCAGGCTAGAACAGATTCTATTCGTGAGAAATATGTTGTGGCACTTGAAAATTCTGAAGGATAACACTTTCAGCACCAAGGACCGTACCAGGTTTCTCTTCTCTTGTCCGTAATGCAAGAACTGCTACAGACGTGAAAGTTACTTTATTGAGTGTCGGAATCTTACAAGGGATGGAAGCAAACCTTAAAATGACCCGCATTCTTTTTAAAACAAACAAGAGTAACACAAGTTAAATCGTGGCCGCTTCTTTCCAGGATTTAGTGCAAAGCGTGATCGGGACCTCCCATGTAGACCCCTAAGAAACGACAATGAAAGATGTAGGGATAGGGCATTCACTTCCTGTTTAAGCGACCGCTATCGATATCGTCTTGCCGATCATTCTGCCACATATAAAGGAGGGGAGGTCACCAGCGTAAGATCTTTTCAGAATAATTTGGAGGCCCTTGACACAAATGTGTCAATAGCTGTAGCCTCCAATGTTATTTTGGGGTAGGGAATCGCAGTCTTTTACTTTCAGCGGCTGCGCTAGTAGAGTTCACGATTCTGACAGGAAATTTGTTTCATCCATAGAAGTCTTGTTCAATTCAAATTCCGCGGAAAGGATTTGCGTTTCTACTCGTATACTGACGTACGTAGTCGGGTGGCAATTAAAGTGTCGGTGTTCTCTCGCGCATTTGCCGTAATTACCTCCATGAAAAATGGAGGTATTGTTTTTGGCGTGTCTGTCTGTATGTCTGTCTGTGTGTCTGTCTGTCTGTGTTTCCGCAACTTTGTAGGCGGCATAACTTCATAACGCCTTTATGGATTGTGATGATATTTGGCATGCTGATAAGTCTTAGGAAGACAAAGGTCAAGGTCAAATATGGGCCTCCTGGTGGATGACCTTGGTACTGCAGCAGAACTTCCGGTTTTGTATCTTTTGTTCTGACAAGCTATGGTCTTGACTTTTTGGCGACAGCTAGCTTATCTTGTCAGGAATAAGTGGCGTAAGTTTGTTCCCCCTAGTCAGCTTGTTCTGG